TAAAGCTGAATGCACTGGAGCTCCTGGGCTTGCTGGGGCACGGCTGTGGTGGGCAGGCAGCTTACCTGGCAGAGCTACTGGATATCTGCTTGTTGCTCAAACACATCCAAGCGTCTGTGTTCGTTAGAGTTTAGTCTTGGGGCTAATTCTCCCACTCGCTGCAAAGCTGCTTTATTCCTTCATTAAAATCACGCGAAAGCTGCGTTTTAAAAGCAACTCCTTTTCGATTCTCTCTCCTCCAACACTGGAACAAATTGCACGGCCCGTTACATGCAATGTTTGTTTGTTTAGGATGTTAATCTGCTCTCATTTTCTCTTGTTCCTCGCCTCGGCCTCCCAGCTGACAAGACTTTCTGTGAGATGGTGAAATCAAACAAGCTCTGTGAAAAGAAGCTGTTTGTGCAGTTCTGCTGTCAGACGTGTCTTATGGCCGGGTAAAGTTCAGCGCCTGCATCCATCCAGGACTTCCACCAACGGCCAGCCCAGTTTTGCCAAATGTTTAGGACAAAAGGTTATTTTTTCAGCTTTGGGAGAGTTTACATGGTGCTGTCAAGCATCTGCTCGTAAGTTTGATAGCTTTAATATCACTGTCAGCGCGTTTCTATAGCAATATGGTAAGCTGAGATTGGATCGTACCCTGACTGAGCAAGTCCTGAAAGGCAGCAGACAAGCGGTGATATTAATACTCTCAAACACTCCTCGTGAGCAGGGACCAATCCATGTACACACGCTTGGTTCTTTGCAGAGATCCTACTGCTGTGCCCGCTGCGAGCGGCTGGCGGGAGCCCTCGCTGCGAAGGATGCAGGACTTGACACCTCTGCGAAGAAAGTGCCGGTCCTGGCTTGGTGTTTGGTACCCTTCCCTGCTAGGTGATGGCTGATCTAAACCCGCGTTGCAAACGGCCGTGCTCTGTACATAGGTATAACGATGAATTAGGTGGTTCCGGAGCTGTGCCCCCCCGCCCGCTCCGGTGCTCCTGTTCGGATTCGGTCGGTAGCTGGTTTTCTCTCTGGCCATGGCAATAACTGGAGATTTGAGGACCAAAGCGAGAGCTGATCCATGTGGCTCTGCAGGCGTTGTCGGCCCAGTGCATCCACAGGGCTTTGCTGTGTAGGTAACTGAAAGCCAGCAAACCCCTTGTGCCTACAGGGAGCCTTAGGGACTTTGGGGGGTTCATCCATCCACATGGAACAGCCTGTGGGGGTCACAGCCTTACCACAAAATGTTATTTCCCTGCTGGAATTGCTAGGGATCACTGATTAATTCAGTTCTGGAATGAGCTAGATCCTTCCTCTATACGAGGTGGTGTCCCAGTTCATCTCCTGGCATTTTATGTCATGATCCTTCCCCTGTTTCACTGGGTTCACCACTCTCTCTTACACAAATTCCTCCTGTTTTTACCTGGGTAACAGTTTCCAAAAGAGACATTCCATGGATCCGGCCAGGAAACTCAATGCTACAAACCCCTTCCCCAAAACAAACCTTTTCATGCTCTCCCCTAACAGTAACGTGGTGTTTATATATAATTGTGTTTAAAATATCCTTGGCTATGTTGTTTTACAGATTTTTAAAAAATAACTTATACAATCCTTGGTTTTCCTCCGTGGACTTTTTTTTATATGGGAGTGGGGAATCTTTCTGTGTCCTACATCCTCCTCTCGGACTCTGCAGAGCCACTCTGCACCAGATGTATGTAAACCCTCTTTCCTACGCTGCATGTTCTGATTGTCATTGTTAATAGTCTGAACGAGTTAAACCTTTTGCCAATGAAATTCACAGTAGGAATTGTCACCGGCTCCTCATGGAGCCGGGATAATCCCTGCTTGGTTTCGGTTGCAATGACACGAGCCCTGCCTGAGCTTGCCCGCTAGAGCTTACCTCAGCCAGGTGAAGAGGGGCAGAGCCACGCCGCCACCGGTCCTCACCTGCCTGGACCAGACCCAAAGATGGAGCTTTGGTGACCTGACCTTTAAGTTAATAAACTATTGATCTCCCCCGACCAGTGAATCTGTGCTTTTTCCAAACGCACACAGCTGCCATCCCAGCCACTGCTGCATCGCACGTCTTTAATTGTGCTGGACAAGGCAGCTGTCCTGGCTGGAGCTCCTCGTCATCCCAGAGCACCTGCGGGAGAAAGGGCTCAGGAACAGACAAGCTGCATCTGCAGAACCCTCCCTTTTGTTCTCATAAAGGTCTTTTTACCTTCAGAGGAAACTTCTATCCCACATACCTGCCCCGTGCCAGGCAGGGCTGGCATCGCTGGTGCACCCAGGGCTGTCTGGCTGGGGTTCAGGGCTGTGCTCAGGCACAGCTGTGTGTATTCTCTGGCTGTGGGGGATCCCAGCTGAGCTGGCAGGAGGGCTTGCTCCCCTTTCCCACCTGTACAAGGAGCATCCTGCAGTGCCCCACCACTGCTGGGGGCTGCAGGGCCACTGTACCCCTTCAGCTGGTGGGGAAAGGAGAAGAGCTGCTGGTGCAGTGGGGAGAGGAGGGAGCTGTGGAGCCTTTTGTTTGTTGTGTTGGTTTTGCAATGTTTAACCATGGGCTAGGTGCCCAGGGTAGTGCTGGAATACCTGAAACAGAGCTTTTTCAGTGTGGAAAAAAAAGGAAAAGAATGGAATATTCCCATGAGGGGATGCGCTTTCTCAGAGCTGGGCTGCTCTTGGGCTCCTGCATCTAAGGTCTTCACATTTATCAAATGATAAATGTGAGTTAATCAGATGATTTATCACATCCAGTGATTCCTGCTGTTGCTCCAGGATTCCCCTGGCAGTCTCGGGCCAAACCAGAGGTCAGAACTGGGGTAAAATCTCCTGGCTTCTGCCCCTTGGGTTGTAAAATGACCAACTTACTTTCATTTGTGTTGCTGTGTCACAGTCAAAAGGCAGGAGCCATGAATACTGCATCAGCTCTGCTCACTGTGGCCTGCTGCTAAATACTGCTCACTGGTATATTTAGATGTACTGAACTGCTAAAAAAGAAACACGTTTACCCTTGCATCCTTGGCATAACTCAAAATACACACTGGGCGAAGCAGTGCAATTTAAGATGACCAGTCCCCAGCAGTCCCAGCCTTACCCTGCTTTCTGCTGCCCCCCAGCCTGCCGGGAAAGAGAGATGAATACATCAACACCAGCTTCCAGCGTTTCCCTCAAAAATCATTCCTGGACAGTCATAAAATTCAGATTATTTATTCAAGCTACTGCAATGCTTGCTTGGAGCTATTAGAGTCCCTCTGGCACTGGTATGCTCAGAGGATCAAAGTGGCTGCTGTGTCTTCAAGATAAATGAGTACTCAGGCAATTTGTTAAAGCCCATTGCTCTGCTGTCTCCTGGCACCAAAGCCAAATCTGTAATAGCTGTTTTCTGGAAGTCCTCAGTGCAGCCTGGCTCCTGGATCACTGTTTGCCTGTGAGGTTGCATCCAGGACCACCTGCATTTCACAGTTCACATCTTAAAAATCATTACTTTAGCTTTCCATTACAAAGAAAGGGTTTTTAAGAGCGTGTGTACAGCATCCAAGACCAAGAACCTGTCTGCTCTCAGATACAATGCTATGATGACTGTAGAGCTGAGGCATACAGATGTATTGTGCTAAGGGAGACAGGTCTGGGCTTTATTTGGTCTTGTCAGAGGCAGGACCTGCCTTCCAGGAGGCTGAAGAAGGTCTCCCTTTAGTGACTGCCTGAGATGACAAAAGACTCGTCTTTACCACCGCATGATTCCTGAGTCAGGTAAAACGGTGCTGCTGGTGACTGCTTCTGACAGCTCTTTCTCTTCTTCTTGCTCTCTCCTGTGTTTAAACAAGCACAGATGTCATAAAAACCTGACTACGTGCTTCCATACACAGCTTTGGAGAGGGCGTTTTGCAAGTAGGGAGCACAGGAGCTGCCTGACCCCAGCTGACATCTCCACAGGGATCATCCGGCACAACAGAGCCAGCTCTGACGCTGCAATGCCGGGGAACGAGCCAGGAGTCCCTCTCGGGGTGATGCTGCAAGATGTTCCCAAAGGAAAAGCATGAGCCATCCCTGTGCGGTGCCAAACGTGTCTGCAGCGTTTAACCTATTATCACATCCTCTGGGTTCACCGAAATGTCACGGCTAATGAAAAATACCCTTCCCTCGACAGCAGAGGATCCAGAAACCATCCCGTCTTGGCTCGCTCGGGGGGCTGGACGGCTGGGGCAGTATCCTCCAGGGCTGCAGAAGCGGCTTGGTGACATCCATCAGGCGATGGTTGGGACCTGGGGGCGTCAATTGCTTCCTTTAGCTCGTATCACCCCCCAGCCACCAGCCCAGCCCTGTCAACCAGCCCCGGCCACAGCATCCCGATGCCGGCAACGGGCAGGCTGAGACCTCAGCTCTTCCTTACTGTTCTCCGCATTCCTAAAGCCGCAGAGGGGGTGCAGGGACACTTGAAAGCGCTCTTTGCCTCGCAGGGAAAGGATGAATACCCTTCAGAGCTTCTCTGAAACCAGGAATACACATGGAAGAGCCAGAGCAACCGCCTTAATGCTGCAGGGCAAAGCGTTTATGGGCAGCTCCATGCCCAGGAGCAAAGGCTTGGACGCAGGAGCTGTAGCTGCGGGAAGCTGCCCTGGCTGCATGGCACGGAGGGAGGGAGCAGCGTGTGTTCGGACAAGCACAGTCCCACACACGGCCCATAGGAAAGCAGCCTCCTCGCTGCCAGCCCCGGCCTGAAGCCGGCTCCGGGGTGCCGGGGCCGCGCTTTGGGGCCGCTTCCTCGGAGGGCAGAGCGGCGCGCAGGCCACCGGGTCCCTCTGCTGACGAGCTGCCTGCACTGCGGCTGGCCCGCTCCCCCGCTCCCCGGGACCCTCCAAGGGGCACGGTCTGTTCCTGCCCGGCCCCGGGGGCGAAGGGGGAGCCGCGGCTGCCCGGGGGCGAACCCACCGCGGCCCCGCCACTCGCGAACGGAGGAGCAGGCGGGCAGCGGGGCGGCGCTCGGCGCTCGGCTGCTCGGCCTGGCCGGGGGCGGCTCGGCGCTCGGCGGGTTGTCCTGGCGCGGCGCGGCGCGGCCCGGCGGTGAGGTGCGGTGCGGTGCGGCCCGGCGCGATGGTGAAGCTGACGGCGGAGCTGATCGAGCAGGCGGCACAGTACACCAATGCCGTGCGCGACCGCGAGCTCGACCTGCGCGGTGAGCGGGACAGAGGGGCTCCGGGCGGCGGGGCCGTGCCGGGGCTTCAGCCGTGGGCCGGGCTCTGCGGCCTAGGCCGGGGCTTTGGGGGTCTGTGGTGAGGCCTAGCGGGCCTGTGGGTATCCTGTGGAGGGGTGTGGGGTCTTCAGTGGGCTGCGGCAGGACGGGGGGAAGCCGCGGGGAGGTTGTGGGAGAGGTCTGCAGTGGCTGGAGGGGACTGGGGAAAGGGGGAGTTAAAGAGGCTCCAGTGTTAGGGGAACCTGGAGGGGTTGGAATGGAAGGGGATTTGGGGTAATGTGGGAGTAAGGTGCAGTGGTTGGGGTGGGACACCCGAGGGATGTGGCAGGAAGGTGGGATTGGGCTGTGAGGGTACAGGGAGGAAGAGGGGTGCTTTGAAAAGGCTGCGGGGGCTGTTGGATCTGAGAGGGAGAGTTTGGTCCGTGAGCGATGCGGAGGAGTCATTCCAGAGATGCTTTGACTGCCTGCATCCTCAGTCTGTGCAGATACGTGTGCTCTGCCTCTTTGTTCTGCTCCCTTTTGGGCACCGTCTGATCTCTGCCTTGCACCCTTCCCTCAGGCTATAAAATCCCTGTTATTGAGAACTTGGGTGCCACTCTGGACCAGTTTGATGCAATTGATTTCTCTGACAATGAGATCCGGAAGCTGGATGGGTTCCCTCTGTTGAGGAGGCTGAAAACTCTCCTGATGAATAACAATAGGATTTGGTAAGTGGTTGTATTTTGGCCAGATGAGGCCCTGAGGGAGAGGAAAATGCTCTTCGGGAGAGTGTTTGTGCATCTTTCAGTGCTGGATACGTGTAGAAGCGTTTGGCTTATGGAAAAAAATCTGCACTGTATAATAGAGATATATGGAGAACTGTGTAGGGTCTCTTTGATTTTCCTACCTCAGTGCAAAAGTCAGTCTTCGTTTTTGAGACAAGACAGTGAGATGCAGAGTTTGGAATCTGGCTGGACCTTTGGATTTCAGTAGTCACTCCCCATAAAGACAAAAGCCAGGGATATGTGCAGTGGGTGAATGTAAATCTGATATTGCATCTAGTGCGCTTTCAGCGATGGCTGGTATTTATTGCCAGCTTTATTAGTAAAAATATTGTAGTGTGGATGCTGACCCAAACTCCTGCCAGCGTTGGACTGGGTTGGTTTACATGGGGATCCTATTTGTTATCATATTTTTATATGTCTTTTCACCATTGCTCATTTCTAGCTTAAGTTAAACCTTTGGTTTTTGTTCTTTAGTCGCATTGGTGAAAACCTTGAGCAGGCTCTGCCCTGCCTGACAGAGCTCATTCTCACCAACAACAACATTGCTGAACTGGTAAGTGCAGGATAAATTGAACCAAGCTTGAAGTTTGTGTTTGTCATCTTTCCAATTAACCTTTTTCCTGAGAGTACTGTCACATACTTCTGGTAGTAGTTGGCTCTTTTTCTTTAGAGTAATGCTATATGGTATTGGTAGTAGTTAATGCTGTACATATTGTAATGAGCATAATTTGCAGCATGCAGTGGAACAGCAGTCACAAAGACTTAGTGGCTTTCCCATTAAACTACTTGCAGTAATCCTAATTAGTAGCAATTACTGATTCTAATTGGTTATTAAAATAGATGTGAGTTCAGAAACTCTGTTTTCAAATCAGATTTTGATCATTTACTAAAGGGGCTTATGATTTCTTACTGTGTTCTCATTACATAGGGTGAACTGGATCCGTTGTCAACTATTAAGTCATTGACGTACCTGAGGTATGTGATCTTGCAAAGACAAGCTGCTCTTTCTCTGCTGTTTGAACTCTGCAGCTGTCCTGGCTCTTTGCTTTGCTCTGAAATGCTCTCCTTTTTATGAGCTGTGACAGAGCCTTTATGCCTAAAAGTTAAATTGGTAAAGGTTTCCACTACACCTCAGAAATATATGGTATTTAATGGGTTAAGCTTTTTGTTACTGACAGACAGTTGGACTAAGGAGATGTAACATCTCTATAAACCAGTGTGTGAGCACTGAAGTAACCTTAACCTTTAAAAGCCTAAAAACTAAAGGTTAAAACTGTTGTTACAAAATACTTTAAAATACATGTGAACAATGACTTTTCAGTAACGTCACATTTGGTATGAGGGACAAAGGTAAAAACAATTTGTTTGGTGATTTTACTAGTTCATCAGTATCCAGGTAGGAATTGTGATGGTTTAGGGTTCTTTTGTTTGGGTTGTTTTGGCTTTTATATATATGTGTGTGTGAACATAAAGAACAACCTGAAAAGATATATAGATCTTTTATATATATATATATATATCTTTTCAGGTTGTTCTTTATGTTCAGTAAAATCGACTTAATTGATAAAGTGCAAGTTTTTACCATTGTTTTCATAATATCAAAGAACACTGTTACTAGGCTTATTTAATGGTGTTGCGGAAGGTACATGGATGTATTTTAAGTATATTAATGTATTTCAGTGTAAGTGTATTTTCACATATGTTATGTTAAGAACCTCTTTGTAACCTCTGTTGACTTTGTAGCATTTTAAGGAATCCTGTAACAAATAAGAAGCATTACAGATTATATGTCATCCACAAAGTTCCCCAGGTCAGAGTGCTGGATTTTCAGAAAGTGAGACTCAAAGTAAGTCTGCTTTTCTTTGCTTCCAGCACAAGATGAATGCCTTTTGTTTCTTGTTGTGCTTCAAAATTCAGCAGTAACAATAAGCTTTTTGCTGTAGTTGTAAATTTAATTGAAACTATGTATCATAAGTGGCTCTAAAAACATGCTCTTTTTCTGTCACGGTTTCATTCTGTTAAGTATATAGTCTGTTTAATGATGTTAAGTTTTACTAGCTTTGTTTAGTCTGATTCTTTTTTGGCCCTCTGGTGTTGGTAGAAAGACTGGAGAAAGAGGCCCTTTGCTCTTTGCTCTCAGTCAAGATGTGTGTGGGAAAGAGTTCTTGCTAGGCTGATACGTCTGGAGTCTGAGTGTTTGGGCAGTGTTTATGTACTTGTTCTTCCGTCTGGTCTCCACCTACCAATGTTGACTGATGAAGATGAGCCAAAGAGTCTTTCTTTGCAAAGACAGAAGCTTTGCAAACTGCAGTGTTCCTAAATTAACTTTGTGTGTGTGGTATCGCTGTAGGAGCGACAGGAGGCAGAGAAAATGTTCAAGGGCAAACGGGGTGCACAGCTTGCAAAGGATATTGCCAGGAGAGCAAAAACGTAAGATAAGAAACCAATTTACACTGGCATCCTCCTTCAGAAACACCACGTTCTGTGTGTGGTGTGAGGCACTAAACTGAAACACCAGCTGCTAGTGGGATGCCTCAAAAGCTTTGCGTGCCAGGAGTGCCTTGTCCAAGCATCCCAAGTTTTGGATGGTGGTGAATACATCTCAGAAGTATGTTTGAAAGATGTATTTGGTCAGGGTGGGTTGATGTAAGTCAACAAGCAGGAAATATTAATTTAATTCTTGCCATTGTTTAATTTGCCTTTTTTCCCCCCTAGATGATGGGTAATTCCATTTTTCTTCTTTTGCCAGTGAATATAAACTGCTGTAGTCAGGAGGGTAAATGCAGATGAAAGTCTGCAATTAAACTGTTACAAGTACATTTTTAATGAGTTTAATTAAGTGGTACAACAAGTTTTGTTTCTTTACCTGTTTGGAAATCAGAATCTGGATCATGGATGGCCACAGCATTTCCAAATCCACAATTAAATCAAACATATCTTGAATGTATTTAGCATTTAAAACTACAATAGATGGACTCGAGCTCTTGTTTATGAGTTCTGTTCTGGGATAGTTTTAGAACAAGTAGATGATTGAACTAAATAGCTCAATAAACATGAAGAGAATCTCTAGCTGCAAAGGAGGCTGCAGCCTGGGCTGGGTCAGCATTTGAGGAATTCCTTCCAGCTGATCAGCCAGTAACATCCAGTTTTGCATACTGCAGGTTTTTCTTTTGAGTCTTAAGATTACATCCAGTCTAGTGTTTCATATAGGCTGGTGTAATACCATATTAGACATGTGAGAGCGGGAAACCCAGTTCCAGTAACTCTTTATCCAACCTGCTTTTGAAATGGCAACAGCCCACCTGAGTATTCAACAACATCCAAATCAAACAGCTTTTGTCAACTGCTTGATACTTAAAGTTAAGGCCTGCCTCTCTGTAAGAGCAGATTAAAAGGTCTGGGGGGAGTGGGGGGGGGGATGGGACAGCGAGGACAGGCTGCTGGTGTTTCTGAAGGAGGCGATTCTTCACTGTATCAGTTTGTTAACAAAGATAAGATACTACACTTGATTGACTGAAATGCTTCCAAACCTAGTTTGGAAGTTAAGAGAAGCGCATGCCCTTCAAAAGGCGTAACAAGGCTTTATTTTTCCTTGGAAGCTTCATCCCAGGCGCTGCTCTGCACTTTGACAAAAAGAAAGCTGGGCCCTCCCCGGGGGACGTCGAAGCAATTAAGGTAAATCTGTCAGGACAGCACACGTGGATCCAAATGGAACAAAGGTTTCCTCCTGGAAGGCCCTGCCTGTGTTCACACAAACAGAGCAGCGTGGCCTAACTTTGGGTTAGGCCACTTTTCTGTAATTTTTCTTCTGTTAGGATATACCTGTTTTTTTTTGAGAACTTAAATGAAATGTTCCTCTGAGCTTGGAGTTCTCTCAGGACAAAGCAGCTCATTTAATAAGAGTGGAGTTATTTTGAGTAGGGTCTTTATCATTTGCAGAATTTTCTAGAACTTTGTAGAACTTTCCATAGAAGCTTAGCATCACTTCACTGGGGAAAAAACCTTCTCGGGTTTCTTTTAGACAGACTGACACTGTGTGTGGAGATTCATTGTGCTCTTTTGTCTGTTTTCCAGACTGCTATAGCCAATGCCACGACTTTGGCTGAAGTGGAGCGGCTGAAGGGCATGCTGCAGGCTGGCCAGATTCCCGGCAGAGAACGAAAATCAGGTCACTTTAATTACTGTTTCCCAAACAGAATCTACCTCTTTTTGTTCCTTCTGGCTGTTTTATGTGAGCTCAGGAGAGAGTTATGTTGGAAAGGGCAGACAGTTGAAAAGACCTGTTTAAATGGAGTGTAAGTTTATCATCAGAACGACTGGACCACATCCATAGGGCTACGTCTGCCTGGCCTCTGGAGTGCAGCTCTGGGCTGTTAGCTGGACTTCCTGAGAGCAAGGTGCTGAATATCAGCCCTGAACCCTCCCTGAGGACCTGGCTAAATCCCAGCAGTTCATCCCAGTGATTTAACAGACAGGATTCATTGCAGAGTCTGTCTGGATTGAGCGTTTGTGCCTCAGATGAGGGTACAGGAGCGTGTCTCAGAGGGTTCTGCATGGACAAATCTTAACCACAGACTGGCAATGCCGTGTTAGTGCTATGTAGAATCTGCTCACGGGGCTGGTTGGTTTTAAGGGTTCACGTTATTAGTGCCCCTCTCAGGGGGTGGAAATCAATATCCTTACCCTGTGGGAAAGGAAAGGAAAGCAACGTTTGCAGTAACCCCCCCTTAACGCTGTGCCGTGTCCTTCCAGGCCCGTCGGAGGATGCCGAGGAGGAAATGGAAGAGGATGCGGTTCCCAATGGATCCTAGGCCCCGGCTGGCCGCGGTCCGGCGCTTCTCCTTGCGGCGGCTCAGCCTCGCCCCCCTCCCCGCACCGTGTCCGGCGCGTTTCAGCGTTCAATAAATGAGCGGCTCCGTTTGCTCCCCGTGTGCGGCGTCGTGTGTGCGGAGCCCTCCCTGCACACCCCGATTGGCTCCTAGCTCCCTTCCTCTCTTCTCTCATTGGCCATCACAGCCATGATTTCACCCTTACTCTCCTTCCCATTGGTCCACGAGGGGAAGCGTCGCTTCGTGGTTGGTTCTCCAGCCCCCGACGTGGCGGGGGATGAGGAGGGCGATGATTGGCGTGGGGCGGTTCCCGGACGTGAGGTAGCGGCGGTGGCCGTGGCGGTTCGCGATGGAGGCCGGGGACGGCGGCGGCGGCGGCCCCGGTCCCGGTCCCGGTCCCGGTCCCGGCCCCGGCGCGCTGGGGCTGGAGGGGATCGAGTTCCTGCAGCACACGGGTGAGGGCCGGGGGCCGAGGGGAGCGCAGCGGGTCCCACCGGGGCGGCCTCCCGCTTCTCTCCTCGGGGCTGGGTGGGCTCCTTCCCCGCGGCCTGCGCTCACTCTGCGGCCTGTTCCCTCACAGCCGGCTCCCTGCTGTCCAGCTATGGCTGGTACATCCTCCTGGCCGCTGTCGCCGTCTATGTCCTCTTCCAGAAGCTGTCCCAGCGCCTGGCGGCCCAGTGGGGCCGGCGGCCGGGAGCGGCTGACTCAGCGATGGGTGAGTAGGGACGATGCGGGGGCCTCCTCTGAGGGCCTGCTCCGCAGTCGCCGTGGGGTGTACGGCAGCTGGCTGGGTCTGTTCACCCAGCGTTTAGTTAATAACGAAGAGATGTAGTTTGGAGGGGTTTTAATGGTGGTCGATACCCTGGATAACAGTTTAAGCCCGCAGAGACATAGAGATTGTGTTACTGAATTGATCCCTGGGCAGAGGTTGGGCCAAGAGGTGTCTTTTTCAAAGGTTGTCAGGGAAGGATTGTGTCCCGAAGGAACGTGGTTGGGGGTGAAGGAGCAGAACGAGGGATTAGCTGGTCTTTGATTATGCAGGAGATGAAGGAATGGTGGTTAAAATTAGCTGTGGTCAGCTACCAAATAATAGTCTTGCCAAACAAAACCAAAACATCCAAATCTAAACACTGGGGGAGAACTCTTTTGACTAATATTAATTTTTTATCAAAATTCATCACCGTTTTGGCTGCCCCATCCCTGGCAGTGTTCAAGGCCAGGTTGGATACAGGGGCTTGGAGCAAGCTGCTCTAGTGGAAGGTGTCCCTGCCCATGGCAAGGGATTGGAGCCGGATGAGCTTTAAGGTCCCTTCCAGCCCAGACCATTCCATGATTCTATGATCTCTCTCCTTTCAGTTATTCCTTGCCAAATCCTGCTCCAGCAGGACTGTGTGCATTTGGGGTGTAACTGCCTCCCATCCGTGTTATCTTCCCAAGGGTGGCACGGGCTGTAAATCTTACACAGTCATGATCCTGCCTCATTTGGAGACTCGCTGCTGTAAAACACAGGCTGTACTTAGGGATCAGCCAAGCAATAAGTGCTTCATACCAATTCCTTTGGCAGTACATGGGCCCAGAAAATAGTACTCATGTGCCCTTATCCTCCTGATGCTCTTTCAAAATGCCAATTAAATCTTTATTTAATTGTCAAAGCTGCCTCTAAAATTACTGAGAGTACTGACATTTCTGTCACATGTGCAGCACCGGATGGTAGCAAACACGTAAAGAGACAAATGTGGACTTCTAAAGGCCACTGGAGGGAAGTGGTGACTCAGTGTAGGTTTTGTGAGGCTGCCAGTTTTCTCTTGAGATACGTGTGCTGTTTGTAAGTAATTCCTCTGCTGATGGAGTGTGTTAAACCTGCCACTGCTTCGCTGCCGTAATGGGACAAGCTGCACCAATTGGCAGGAGGAGGAGGAGTGGATGTGGGCAGGTTGCCCCATGCTTCTGAGTAAAAGAAGTTCTCTGGGTACAGACGGAATCCCTGCAAAGCTTGGGTGCTATTGCTGAAGTTGTCCCAAACGAATCCTTCAGAAATAGAAGCAAGTATCCCAGAAGTGTGAATTTTAGTTTTTCATGGGGTTGTTAACATAAGTGTCCTTATTCATTAAAATCCCATTAAAGTAATTGCTCTAAAATATTAAAATGTTATGCAATTTAAATCAGCACAGAAATTACTATCGAAGATCAGCTGGAAACTGAACTTGAGCTGTGATTTTTTTGCTACCAGCTCCAGGGAGAGATGTGAACCTTTCCTTATTACAAATCTTTGAGGAGACCATCTACCATTTGTATTGAATAGCTTTGCAAAGTCTTTTGCACTCTCCTAGATGCTGACATGGTGGTGAGAAGGCAGGAAGCTCTGGCAGCAGCTCGCCTCAGGATGCAGGAGGAGTTGAATGCACAAGCAGAAAGATACAAAGAAAGACAAAGACAGGTAACAGGAGACTGTTTCTTTCTTTAATTCATAAATTTGCCATCAAGGGCTTTGCTGTTGCTATAGAAAGATATATTCCGCACTAGGTACCAGAAAAATAGGAGACTCACTCTCTGCTGGAATGGGGTGCTGGGTTTTTACCCCCTTCTTTACCTGGAACACTTTTGATACAGTTTGATCCACAGGGCGGCAACGGGCAGTAGGTACCACAATGATATCACCTCCACAAGCACATCCCTATATGCTGTGCTGACCTGATGTCTTGATGCTCTTTGTTAATTAGAATGATTGATATGTGTAGTACTTTGCTCCTTCCTGAATTAATTAACCTCTATGGCACTTGCTTCACTGCAAGTAATTGTGTCTGGGACACTGTGGGCCTGATCTTTATTTTTTTCCAGGTAAATTTGTGATTACAGAAACTCAGTACTAGGCACAAAAAAGGTCTGGAGGGGATTTACTGGGTTTAGGTTAACTGTACTGCTGCAGACATGCTTTTTCTGTTCCTAGTGGCAAATAGAAGTTTTTAGAAATGTAGGTTATCACTGCTGTAATTTAATGGTTGGAATTTCAGCTTGAGAAAATGAGGAATAGGATATTGCTATTTGGGGTAGCACAGAAAAGCAGATGTGAATCAGCATAGCTGTAATGTTGCTCGTTAATTCGAGCCCTTGGGTTTTGTTGTAGCTGTTGCTGTAGCACTGGTGATTCCGTTAGTTCTGAAATCTTAGTCTTGCATATCCTGGATTTGTTCCTTAGCTTGAAGAGGAGAAACGAAGGCAGAAGATAGCGATGTGGGAAAGCATGCAAGAAGGAAAAAGCTATAAAGGAAACCTGAAACTGAATCAGGTAACAACTGTGTTAATCAGGTTACAATTATGTTTATGTGATTAGATGAGCTGATACTCACAGTGATTAAATCCCAAGTAACGTTTTGCTTTCGTGAACAGCAGGAAGTAGAATCTGGTGCCTCCACCTCATCAGCAGTCCCGAGATCTAAACCAACCAAAAGGCCCTTGCGAGAAGGTGGTAAGTGTGAAACCCTTAAGACACGGTGAGCTTGAAACAGAGCATTTTCCAGCTGCTGACATAGTCATCATACATATTTTTTTTTCTCCTTCAAGGAGGAAACAAAATGTGCCTTGCAGATGAGGACTTTAATCAGTGCAGAACCTAGCAGGAAGTTTCTGTGGTGCTTTTCACCTGGAAAACGGCATTTCTGTTTGCTTGTAAATGCTTCTGCCACAATTTACTGAGATTTTTGTTGCTCAGAATTAAGAGATTCTTGCAATAATTCTGGGATCCCTTCCCCATTATTGTAAAAGTCAGATAATTCACAATCTGGTCTGTCTTTCAGCCACCTGTATTACTGACTGGATGTAGGAAGAGGGTATTTTATTCTGTATTACATAGATTTGGGAAGATGAAAGACTTTATTATACAAAATGTGATCTTTTTTATCTGGTATCACAGTAATAATCTATTGAATCTATGAATACATCTGAAATCCTGCAGATGTATAAACTTTTACCAACTCCCAGAAACCACCAAAGGATCTTATCATTAAACTCACTGTCAACTGCTGAAATCATCTTGATTGGTGAACAGCTTTCCATGGCCCACCCTAGGATCACTGCTGTGTGAGGGCCATGCAGCTGATCTCCTTTGTCTCCTCTCAGCCTGTGCCGTACCTGCAAGTGCTAATTTGGGTGTAATATTTTAATGATGATTTTCCATAGTTGGGGGGAGTATGGTCTAAATAAGCCTCAATCGTATCAGACTAAAAGGGAAACCCATTTTGGGTGCAATGCTGAGTAGGTCACTTGATTAAATGTATGAAACCTGAAGATTCTTGATTAAAGATACTAAACCTCAATAATTGTGCAGTGCTGAAATTTCTGCTTTGAATATTTTTACTTGCAGCTGATGACAAAATCTGGATGAACTGGTCAGTTGATCCATTTTATGTTAATATGAGCTCAGTCTAATGTCTGATACTGTCAAATGTCTTTTACAGCTCTTGCATGGGATATTTAGCACTGTGGGGGATGAGAACTGCCTGTAATGGCTGTGTGAAGAACCAAGATGAGGGCAGCTGGGTTGAGGGATGTTTCCAGCTGCTCCCTGTCTTAGTTTCGTCCTAAATCTCTGCTTAAATAACAAATGATAGAATTAGAGGTCTCTGATCTTCTCATGAGGTAGATCAGCATGATGTGAGAGAACCACCTGCACTGCTCAGCTGCTGAATTAAGGTAGAAAGCAGAACTTGGCTAGTAGGAGAAAAACTTCAAAAGAGAGAGGTGATGCTTGAAGTTTCAGCGCACAGGTTGCTTTGAAACCTGCTTGGTTAGCAGCACTACTAGGTTTTCAGTTGTCTTTTTCTTTGCCTGGTTCAGAACAAATTGAGGACATTGGCCAAGTTGAATATGTACTCATAAAATGAAGCTGCCTATAGTTAATGGCATTAGGATGCTCAACTAAAATATGTTTGTCTTACTGCATATACTTCCCTTTTCAAATCCTTGATAGAAATCTTACAGCAGTAATGACTGGATTTACCTTTTGACCTTCAGAGTATTCCTTGCAGGACTGGAATAAAAGATTCTTTTAAGTACCTAACTGTTAGGGCTGTTGGAGAACAGAGGCACTCTGACAGAGTTCACTGTAGGAGCTACTGCTCTGTTTATTCTGCAGAGCAGCTCTAAAGCTTTAGTGCAGGCTTAGAGAAATTAAATGGTAATTAATTTCAATTTAATTTAATCCAAATAGATCAAATGAAAACACAGGTGTTTTGCAACGGCTTTTACTGACAGCACTACAAAAATAAACCATCTCAAGTCCCTGCTTTCCTTTTCCTTAAAATGCTGCCTAAGTCATAAGTATATACAAGGTGCAAATAGCCGTGAGGTTTATTTTTGGTGTTCCTTGTATGTTGGTGTAGGCCTGTTGAGGATGAGTATTAATCCAGTGGATTTCTCCTCTATTTCTAGGCTATAACCCCCTGTCTGGAGAAGGAGGTGGAACTTGTTCCTGGAGACCAGGCCGGCGAGGCCCATCAGCAGGTGGATGAGGCTAACCTCCCTAGTGTCTCATGTCACTAGCAGGCTTGATCTTACCCACTGTCTAACTGCCTATAGTTTGCTTGTCACAGTGACTTCTTTGGGACTGGGTTTAGTGCAGGTGTTAACATCAAAACAGATTTACATCATTTCCAAATAGTAATGAAGAAACTGATGCCATACAAGAAAAATACCTGATCCTGTTAGGATGAAGAAAAACAGTTTTCCCTGTAGAGAGGAAGCATTGTCTGCAGCCAGGGTGAACTGCCTGGGCTGAGAGCTGGGTTCTGTGGCTGGCGATCCAAAAGTCTGGCCTCAGGCAAATGTAATTATCTACACTCTGTGAAATGAGGATATTTACCACCCTCAGACATGTGTTACCAGATTTGCTCTGTTTGCCTAGAAGATACTTTCGAGGGGAAGGATGTTATCATTGGCAGATACCTTGGATTTTAGGTTTAGGGACTTTGAGGCAAAACGTGAACTGACAGACGCCACAGACTTGCACCAAAGACCAGTTATTTACTGCAGAAGAGTCTCTGTGACAAGCTGCTTTCAATGATGTTTTCCTTATAAATGGTACACAAACCAGTGAGGATTACTGATGGTAGGCAGCAGGTGGGGGGGGTTCTTGCTACCTTTTTTTTTTTAATTATTTTATTTCAACTGCTTTGTAAAAACAAAACACTATTATTATTAAATATAATTGCAAACAAAACATAACTCCAGTATTTACAATCTTGTGGGTTTCTGCAGCATCTTTTTATATAGGAGGCGCATGTTCTAGTGCAATAAATGCACGTAAAGGAAGATGAGAGATCACATGAAAGGATTTTCATTTGACTACCACCATAAACAAAAGGGTTTTTTTTTCAGCTGTTCTTTTTGTCTTAAAACAGGTTTGTTTTATTTGGGTGTTCTGTGTTCCAAATCATGATTTTGGAAGAGTCACCTTCAGGTTAAGTCCAATTCAAGCTTCCCCAAGTTTAAAAAGTGAAACTCCTCATTCTCTTCCCTACGTCCAGTAAGTGATTCTGTAGTTGGATCAATTGCATTACTGGTTGTTAAGCACTCCAGCTGTATTTGAATCTAAATCAAGAAAGCATGTAACAAAGGCCTTGCTTGAACGGAGCAGGTTTCTTCACAGACTACAAATACTTAAACACTGCAAGGTATTCAAAGCTAAGAAAGCCACAGATTGTGCCAAGAACTGTTGGTGTGGGCCACAAGGCTGCCTGTAGCTTTAGCAGTGCAGTGTCAGGGTTACACTGTGGGGACATAAAGAACTGACTTTGCACTACCTTCTGCTCTGAAGGTGTCTCAGGGTGGGAGCTGGTAGCCTGGCTGCACGGCTCCCCTGAACACCCCAGCTAAAGGCTGAGGTGGGCTCTTACCAGCTTGTGCAGCATAAAAGCTAAGTGTGGTTTGTGCTGGAGAGGGCCTCCGGGTAGCAGACGTGTCAAACTTGCAGGTGAGGGGCTATAAGGAGTGAGTAGCTGGAGTGTGTGTGGTCTTCATCCTTCTGGTGTGTAGCCAGGACTGTGGAGAGAAAATAAAGCTAGATCTGGCTGTTGTAATTGAGCTTCCCAAACATCCCATCCCTTGAAATACAAAACACGCAATGCAACAGAGAAGGAAAATCCAGGCTGGCTTTGATACAGAATGAAATAGTTCCTGGCAGCATATGACAAGTGTCTCAGTGTCTGATTACTGCTATTGAGCTTGTATATAGGCATTAAAATATGTATCTGTTTCATTAGCATAGCTTAGGGCTGCTTCAGTACTTGTTTCTAAATACTCAGGCTTGGAGTATTTGTGTTCATCCGACAGCGTTAAGTGCCAACTTTTGACTATGCTGTTTATACATATCAGATACTGCTCTGTATGTCATGAGCTGTGATTTTCTCTTGACTGTAGATGTAAGTAATACGTTACTAGTGAATTTTAAAGTTGCCAGCTAATGAAATGGAAAGGCAAAGAACATTTTGCTTTAGGCTCATGAAGTGTGTGTGTTCAGGTGTGTGTGGAAGATGAAGTGAGAAGGCTGCTAATGTTCCTACAGAACCTAGTTTTTGTTTCCTGGCTTCTGGGTGTTTTGGTATGTAAACTGAAATTTCCACTGTTGTAACATGTTCTGGTGTACATAACTTCATGTTTCAATGTTTAACAAGGCAAAATAGAGGTGGGGAAGGCTATTTTCAAGATCTGAAGGTTCTCCATCAGTAAAGAGGACTAAGTTGTTATCTTTCTCATGCCTCTGGGGAACATTTTCCCCTTGTGTGGGGGAAACAAGCAACAGACTGAGATGTCTGCAGCAAAACAACTGGGGGAGGTTGTTGTCTTAAGCAGAATTCCTTCTGTGGATAAAATGGTGAGGACGGGTTGATTTAATTCAGTATAGACATTTGAAGAAATAAATAAGCAGGTCTGAACTGAGCATATGCTAATCTCTCTCTGTGTCTCAAGTCTTGCTTTGGGCTGGGACTGAGAATATGGATTTTTGCCCAATTCTAAGATTTATTAAGGCACATCCAGTGACAATGAAGTGATTTATGTGTTTCGGGAAACTTCAACCTTCTCTCTCCCTTAAATTTTGTAACTTAATCCTCAGGTCCCTAAGTTTTTCTTGATCAGACACTTCTAAGCCATTGAACAGAGTGGGAGGAAGAACCTCGGAAGGGGTTTTCCTCTGACTTCAAATAGAAAGCTTTCCCTTGACCACAAATAACTATGGAGACGTGGTTGCTTGTTGCTTTCTAGCTTGAGAGTGAAGCATGCAGAAGGCATGAGGTGAAAGTGAGCTATTTAATGAGTTCATTTTCCGACTTTGCTATGAATTCCCAAGAACTTGAATTACGAAAGATCATATTGAAAAGCCTTCAGGAGATTCCCCCCCAACACAGACACAAGAAGCCTCTTACTGTAGTGATGCAGATGTTCTGAAAACATCTTTATCTGGAAGAAGCCAGCTAACAAACTTGGAGTTAACGCAGTGCTATTAAACTGCCATATAATTTTGCTTAACCACTGAAGAAGAATCTAGTTGGGGTGTTGAAAAATCCTAAATGAAGCAAGTGTTCAGAGGCACAAAAGAGTCCTGAAACAGTTGCTGGAGAAATGCAGCTCAGTGTTTTTCATTGCCTTTTGGATGGTTTATATATGGGAGGAACAAAGTTTATTGTCTTCTTTAAGTTGCAGATGAGGTCTGGTTTATGCAGAGTTCTCTTAACTGTTCATCAGGAGATAGTGAGCACTGGAAGGAAAACTGAACAAAAACCCCACGTCACTCTCATGAAATTTATTTTGGCTTTATTCATGCCTTTCAAAACCATTGTGAAATGAGGGAAAGCTTTTACAAGTGCTCCTGCATATTTTGTCATGGCAAAAAAAATATGTTCCTTATGCTGGAAAGTTTTAATAACCAACAACAGGAGACGGAGTCGGGAGTGAGGGCAGATGGGGAGTGTGTCAGCAGAGCTGTTCCAGGTGCTCCAGGATTAATCAAAGCTCCAGTGTTAATCAGAGATCAGTGTGAATGAGAATGTTAATTGCCCCATTTCTGCAAGGCACTGCTCTCCTTGAAGAGACTGAATGCAGGTGTGAAATGTTAGTACTACTGTGTTTTAAACAGTTTTGACTCAAAACTCCAGGAATTGGGGTGCTCTGCAGCTGCTCTTTGCCAGTCTGGTTTCCTTCTTAGGCTGGGCTGATGCTCAGTGCAGGTGTTTAGATTGTTGTTTTTTTTTCTCTTGGGTTTTGTGTCTTTTCCCCTCCCTAGGAGGTGACTAAGGAGAGATTAAGCATTCAGATTGCTCTGAACGAGGGTGGCACCCAGCATGAGTTTGTCCTATGCTATACCAGCAGTGCTACAGTTCATGGCTGCGTTTAAACCATCCTAACATCATCCTTTATGCCTCCTGTGCTCAGCAAAACAGTTCCCATCTCTGAGAGTTGTCCTTTCCCAAGCCTGGCTGCACATCAGCACACATGTCTGCATCAGATGGACATTTGGATGAGTTTTACTCCTGTACAGGCTAACACAGTGACACCTTTTGACAGATTGGGTTAGCCAAGAGCAGGGCACAGCGTGTTTCTGTCCACGCTGTCACAGAACACTGAAACTGGATATAAAGCTGGTCTGGACTTGGATGGGCTGATGACTTGTTCCTTCTTTTGTTCCCCCCCCCCTTTTGGAATGAAGGCTTAGTTTTTGGAACAGCTCTGCAACCACAAAGGAAAAGCATACGGCTGCTGGCTGGGTGGTGTCCTGGCCCGGTTGCACCGTTGTAGCTGATCCTGTGTGAGCTTCCAAGCCAGCTGTTCCAAGCCTGACACACGCCCTGCCCATATTCCCAGCTCTGGAGCCAGTGGCTTCAAAAACCTCCATCAGTTTTTATGCAGCAACCAATGGCTGCAGTGGAATCAGTCTCCTCGGCTCAGCTCTGGTGGTGAACATAGGTTTTCATTGCAGATTTCTGTCGTGTAAAGTACTGCCAGCACAAAGCAAGATCTCCACTCATAAATTAACAATGTAATTCCTCTTTCTGTGTCTACCATAGTTTACTAATCAAGATTCTTTTTATATGGTGCTTATGAGGCTCAGCTTTGTAACTCGTGCAGTGGGTAACATTAATAGAGGGATGGCAATGAAAAGAACTGAGAAAGTTCTGTTTAAAGAGAACAGAAGGAAAATGGATATACTGAAATACATCCTGGCTGTTCAATCTAGTTCTAGTGCTCTGTTGTGTGCATTAAAATGAGGAGTTACTGTCGGGTTGGCCTACAAAACGTGCTTTCAAAAGAACCAGACCCAAAGCTGGCTCTTAAAGCTTTACTTCTTCACATATTGGAGGCGGTAATGTTTAATGTAAATTGGCCTGACTGCTTCTTGGGTAATGTAATACAGCAGCTTTCAGTGCCTACAGAGGCTGACAAGAAAGCTGGAGAGGGGCTACAGGGACAGGACAAGGGGGAATGGCTTTAACCTGCCACAGGGGAGACTGAGATGAGCTCTTAGGCAGAAGCTCTTCCCTGTGAGGGTGCTGAGGTGCTGGCACAGGGTGCCCAGAGAAGCTGTGGCTGCCCCATCCCTGGCTGTGTTCAAGGCCAGGTTGGACACAGGGGCTTGGAGCAAGCTGCTCCAGTGGAAGGTGTCCCTGCCCGTGGCAGGGGGTGGAACTGAATGAGCTTTAAGGTCCCTTCCAACACAAACCAGTCTGGGATTCTATGAATTGCCACTCCGTGTGCTGTTCAGTTCATAGCTATGCTGCATCTTCACACTTGCTTTCTATATACACATTCTGGACTTTTCCAGTGTTGTTTGACACTGCTGTGGGGGTAGCACGTTAAAAACACATCGCCTTCCCCTCTGTGACACAAAGCTCGAGCGCCTTTCATGCACCATGGCCGTGCTGCTACCACCTCCCAGCCGACGATAGCAGGAGCTGTGTGGGGAGCAGGAGGGTTTTCCATCGCCTCCAAAGCCCTAAACGGAGCTCCTTGGCTGGGAAGAGCAGAGGAGAGCCAGGGCCTGGCGCCTGCACTGCGGGGCCGCGCCGGGGGATGGCAATGTTGGTCTGGCTTTACAGCAAGAGCAAACGGTGACAGCTCAGCGTGGTTTTGTCGCTTGAACGGGCATCGTCTGAGCGAGTCAGAGGGGAAAGGTTGGGACTGGTCCCTGGCAGGACCAGAAGAGGATGGGGAGGGGAAATGCTGGAGCTGGGGAAGGAGTTTCTGCATCATTTGGGAAAATGCAACGGAGCTGGAAATACTGTGACAGGGAGAAATGCTGCTGGTTGCCCAGCTAGATTTTTTCCACCGTGAGTCTGTTACCTTGAATATACAAAGTATGCTCATTTTCCAGTGCCTGGGTAGTTCTTACAGTATCAGGTTAAGTACTGGAACATTCATAATTAAAGTCTCTGGAGCACTTGGGAAGTAGTTCACTTCTGTAACTATTACTTTAAAAGATGCTAAAGAATGTCTCTTGTAGAAGGCACATCCTGTGTTAGAGTGGGCTCATTACCGTGAAAAAGTGGAAAGCAAAAGCAATGGGAAAGAGAAGCTGTTATAATGCACAATATACCTGCCCTCTATAATGTAGAGTCTCCTATTCAGAATAAACTCTTTTCTTTCGGTTTTAAGCTTCTTTATTCCAAAAGGATGACACCTATTCCATACGGGCACAAACCAGCTCAAAAAGCTGCTCCAAGGACTTGGCTTCTTTATCTTTGAAAAATAGGATTACTGTGTTGTTAATCTGATTATGAATCTAAACAGTGTGGGCCTGTCAGGTGGGCTCTGTCTGGCTGGTCTGGGTGCTAATCTCACTGGAGTGACTGGGACGGGAGCACGGAGACAGAGCGCACACGATGTGCATCCTCTTCAGATAAGCCCTCAGAATATTTCCTCAAGCAGTCCCACATAGGAAAGAAACCATGCTGTGTAAAATGCTTTTATATTTGTATACAGTGTTATATGAACAAAATACCATGCCTTTTAATATATGATAGCCATAGTACATAGTGTTAATTATTTTCTAAGAGATGTGCTAACAGGGGGAGGCACTTAAATGTGATTATGCAGTATGACCTTTCTCTGCCAACCAGATTAAGGACATACTCTAGGGGTAATGCCAAGGTTATAACTCATCTGGAAGAGCTAAGCCATCCTCTTCCCTTTTCTCCCCCCTTTTTTTCCTATAGTGGAAACAGCAGCTGCTCTATGTGAGAACAGAGGAGGAGGCATTTGCCCACCTAACACTTTGGAACGTGAGTTTGGCACAGCGAATGGACTAAAGCGAGGCACTTTGATGTGCTCAGGGAGGTTGTGTGAGGATCACAATGTTCCTGGGTGCTACCCCATTTTACAGTTTGATGTCTCAACTGTATAGCTGGCGTGATCTCATCCGGCAGCAGTGTGAACTCTGCACATGCCTTCAATTCCGGGTTGAATCCTGGCTCCTAGAAAGCACCTCTTCCTTCTCCTGCCATTCCTTGAGTGCTCTCTGCTCACCTCCTGCTTGGGGCGAGGCCCTGGTCTATAAAGGAGGTGCAGGGAGGTGGGAAGGTGCCAAAGGAGAGCCGCGGGCAGAGGAGCTCTAACACAGGAGCGTGCGGCTCCGCTTCATCGTTTCCATGTGTGTGAAGTCGTGCGAAGTTTTTGGTTCTGATGACTAACTTCTTTTCTTCATGGGAAGAAGCCAACTGACAGCTCCTCAGCCCCAACCCTTCTCTCTTTTATTGCCTTTTAACCACGCTAGCTCTGCCTCTTCCTGCAATTCATAGGCCACAGTGGCTTTCCCTTGAATCAGGAGATTTTTACTGCTGATTTGGAGCACGCTGAGAGCAATCCCGTTCCTGCTCACGAGCCTGCCACATCTCCCTCCCTTGGAAAGGAGTGCCCTTACGTTTAGTTTTAGCTTCAACATCTGCCTGGGTCCTGTATGTCAGGACCTGATGATCGGGCTTGGAGGGGAGAAGAAGAGTTTGAGGTCCCTTTTGAAGACGCTTTTAAAAGTGGGATAAAAGATCCATGTGTGCAGAATGGCTGAGGATAACCCCAGGCTTGGCAGAAAGGGATGAGAGCACCCATAGTTAGAAATAATAGTGAAGCTTTGCAAGTCCTGGGAAGTAGAAAGGAATTCTGGTCATAGTTTGGGGGTGGATTTCCCCCTAAGGAAGGGATGGAAAGGACAGTACAGCAGAAAACGTTTTCCTGGTGTAAATAGTGCTTTGGGATTATTTCACTAGAGAAGAACTGAGGTGGACCATGGGTCCCATTCCCTATTCCCAGAGGAAGGTCCCAGAAAAGCAAAGCTCTGGCTTTGTCAGAGCAAATGTGGGTAATGAAAGGAGACCTCCTGCTCTTTCTTTCCTGTTAAGCGCTTGTATTTCTTCTCTAGTTTCTATTATATCTTGGTTTTGTTTAATGCCGTAAGTTGTGGTGACACTTCGTGTTATTCATTGCTCCTGACATCACCCTTGTTCATCCGTGCTGACCTCTGTATGAGGATTGCACCATCACAAGAGCAATAAAACACCAAAAAAGGCATTTTTACCAAACTTATCGAGTTAATTTGGTGAGCAGATTGGGGTATTACCTGCTTGTTCTAAGGTACAAGGTTCCTTGCTACAAGGGTTATAAGAATGTCATATATAGCTCTTTAACTCATTGATTTACAGTATTCAGTACAATGCCTGCTTGTGCAATGGTTCTTGCTCAAGAGCAGGCTGCTTTTATGCTGAAACTTTTTTCTTAGCTTGTTGTGGAGGACACCACAATATAAATAAGTTCTAAAAGGGCAAAGAATGGCCTTTGGAGATATAAAAATGGGTAGGAAATGCAAGAAACCACAATGATAAAGCACGAGGTCAGCGAGCTGTGCTGGATGTGTTTGTTCTGTACCGACTGGAGGGCTTGTTTTTCCTCCAGGGTTTGGGGCTGCAGTATTTGAAGCTGAAGCACTCTGTAGATGAAACCCAAGTTAGCTACAGCAGACAAAGAAGAACGAACTCTTCACCTGGTACAGCTGAAGCAGTCATTATAGCCTCTGGATGGAAACAGCCTGACCTATTTCTGGTCGGTTTAATTAGCAAGGTGGGAGAAAATGGGAGAGCTGCCTGTGCTTCTGCCCTTCCCTGGCACCAGCATGAATCCATCAGCGCCAAGTGAAACCGGGGCTGGGGGGCTGCTCCTCCCTGCCATGCCTCCCTCCAGCTCTGCAGGCACCATGGCCCGAGACAGGGCAGCTCTGGGGCTTGGGCAGCAGGAACCCAACCGTGCAGAGATGGGAATGGTGTGTGAGGTCTCCGACATGAGCTGTGCCGGGTCTCTGCTACAGGGCATGGTACGTGGTGCTGTTCTGGGCCAGGGTACCAGCTCCCCACTGCCTTCTCATTCAGGTCCGAAGGGACCAGAGCCATGCTCCTGTGCAGGGTGCTGGGCTGGGGGCCCTGTCCTGGGGCTCTGCTCAGGGCCTCAGTCCCACAGCACCCATGCTCAGGTCCTGCGGTCCCCGTGTGCGGTGCGCGGCCACGCCGCCGGTCCCTGCGCTGCGGCCACATCCCGGGGTTCGCTGTCCCTGCTCCGCACCCCGCGTCCCAACCCACAGCGGGGGCCCCGTCCCGGGCCGGACCCGAGGGGCCGAGCGGTACCCGGGGGGCGGGCTCTGCCCCGCGGCCGGGCGGGGCTACGGGCAGCGCGGCGCGGGCCGCACACGGCGCCTGTGCCGAGGGGCAGGGCCGGGGAGGCGGGCGCCCCCTTCCCTTCCCTTCCCCTCCCCTCCTCTCCGCTTCCCGTCCCTGCCCCTTCCCCCCATGGCGGCGTTGGGCGGCTCGTCGCGGCTGGCGGCGGCGGCGCAGCGCGGGGCGGCGGCGCTGTGAGGAGCCGCGCGGGGCGGGCATGGCGGGCCGCGGCCGCCGCGCCTGGCTCAGCGTCCTGCTGGGGCTGGTGCTGGGCTTCGTGCTCGCCTCGCGCCTCGTCCTGCCCCGCGCCTCCGAGCTGGCGGCGGCGGCGCGGCCCCACCGAGCCCGCCCGCAGGGCTGCCGCTCGCCGCCCGCCGCCGCCGCCGCCGCCCCGCCGCGCCGCCCCGGCCCGCCGGCACAGAGCTTCCTCTTCGTGGGGGTCATGACGGCGCAGAAGTACCTGCGGAGCCGCGCCGTGGCCGCGCACCGGTGAGCGGGATGGCGGGGGGCGCGATGCGGCTCCGCTCGGCTGCCTTCGGCGGGGCTCGGGGCTGTTCGGCTTGGGGCTCGGGTGGGCTCGGGTCGGGCTCGGGTGGGTTCGGCCGCTTTCGGCCGCTGTCCCTGAGCAGCGGCTGAGGTAAGAGCCGCCGGGACGGGATGGTGCCCGTGCGGCCGGGGTCTCGCCGCCGGTCCCGGGCCCGCTCGCCCTTCCCCGGGGCAGGTGTGAGCGAGGCGAAGTGGTGCCGGCTCTCCCGGCACCAGCCCCGGCGCGGTGTGGGCAGCACCGGGGCGCGCTCGGGGCGGCCGGGCCGCGGTGTGTGTGAGGGAGGAGAGGTGCTCCGAGCTCCCCTCTGCGAAGCGGGGTCCGGTTGAGTGGCGTTGAGGCGGTACCTGGTGGTCGTGACCCTCACAGCAGCGAGGAGCACCTACCGCCGGTCACTGGGGAGAAGGGGTGTTCTCGCCTGCCTCCCGTTGAGTATAGCTGCCCTCAGTGCTTCTACCTTGGGCATGGTTATGTCATGCTGGTGCAGTGCTTGGCTGCTGCTTCTGAAGAGAGCTGTCACCCTGATGATAATAATGATAATGATAATAATAAAGTTTAGAGGCTGCTGCAACCCCGTGGATAGGGAGATAAGGACCACTGTGCCGGGCGAGAGCGTGTGCTTAAGAATGAGACTTGGAAAGCGCATCTGGGAACAAAGAGTAAACCCAACCTCTGCTCACCGCAGCTGTAGCTAAGGCTGGACCAGGTAGGGAAACAGCTCCAATAGGGAAAGTCAGTGTGGGTATAACGCTCCTAGCTTTGGGCTGGTGAAGCTGGTGCAGGGACCAGGGTCTCAGAGCTGTGTGTTCATTACCTGAGCCCATTATCATTGTGCTCCGCACTGTGTGCCGCTTGCTGTAGCCTCCAGCCCTAACCGGGTATGGCAGTGAGTGCCGCGTGCTTCTGATGGACTTCTGGCCATCAGAGTAATCATCTGTTGTGCGAGACGTGTCTGTGGCTTTGGGGAAGCTCTCCTCTCTGCTGAGATGCGCACATTGCTCTGGGGCTGGAGCCAGCGGGCAGTGCCGGGCGGCTGTGCAGGAAGCACGCTTGGGAAAGCTGAACGAGTGAAGAGCTAAGATGTCAGCTCGGGTATAGCCCGGCTTGGATCGGGAGCTGCACGGTTGCTGCTGGCGCAAGAGCGGCCAGGAGCTCTGCGGAGAATCTTCGTCTAATAAAACATCCCCTTGAGACACGCACTAGGACAAGCCCTTCTCTGTCTCCTGCCTGCCCAGGCTGAAAAGTGCTTGGCCGTGTTGGCCAGGTCAAGAGCAGGATGGCAAAGCCATGTCTGATGGACTGTCTCCTGCTCCCCCTGCCCAGCTCTGGTTTCAGGAAAGGGTAGCTCTCTTTATATCAGCATCAAATGCAGTAAAATTGCTTAATTTGGGCAATCTGGAGCATATTGTTCACCAACGATGGTTTTAATGGAAACTTAATTCCTTCTTTCAGCAGCAGACCTGTAATTAACTTGCAGAGGGAACGTGATTGAGGCTTTAAAACGGGTGAAAGAATCTGTTTCTTCAGGGTTATGTATTCTTCACTGTGTGGGATGGAGCATTTTGGATTGCAAATGTCATGAGCTGTGTAATTTACGTTTACATAAAGGAAGTCTGGAGCTGTGCATCGCATAACAGGTTTTATGGCAGAGTAGTTTGTCTGTCAGATCTGGTCCGTCATCCATCAGATTTTGTGTGAGGAATTCAGGGAAGGGAAGTTTATCACAATGTTGTCCAGAGATGGGTGCTAGTTGTGGAGCATTTAACTTTGCTGGCATGGGAAGGATTCTTATCCCTGGCTTTGCTGTGCTTGCTGAGCAGTCCCGTGCTGTAAGAGAGATGGGTTTACAGAACCAGATCTGCAACATCTGCTCACACACAAGAAATGGCTAAAGATGCAATTTAACAAATCCAGCTAATGGAATCAGACTCCTTCAGCCCTCAGAAGTAGATCTGAGGTTGCTTTTTACTGTACTGCTATTTTGGTTTAACCTCTAGAGATGATGTCTGCTCTTGGAAGGGATGAATAAAGAGACCTCTTAACTGTGCGGTAGGGCTAAATGCATTTTTCTCACCTCCTGTAGTAAAAGAAAGGAGCTTATGTCCTGGTGACAGGAAGACATCTTTGGGGGAAGGTGGGGAGGGGGGAAGAGGAAGACGAACCTGAAATCTTAAATGGCTTTTGATTGCCATGAAGTACTCAAGCAGACAATTGCTGGGATTACTACATTGACAAAGCATCCTGGTGAGCTGAATCGCTGGCACAGCCAGGGAAATGGGAAGCTGCTAGCAAGGCATTCCCGGGGTGGCAGCGTGTGCAGAGCCTTGATATGGCGGTAGCCAGAGCGCTGAAAGGAATTAGGGATTCAGAGGCTGAATACCTCCAAATTGCTGTGGCTCAAAGGCCATTTACAGACACAGCTAAAAGGGACCGAAGCGGAAAGCATTTGCTGATCCTTGCTGCTGTGAATCCAGATAGGGTCTAACAAGAGGGGAAGCAATCCACTTCCTGAACATCAATCATGGGCAAAATGACCACTGCAAGGCAAAACGGGCCTGCTGGATGTTCGGGGGACGCCAGCTCTTTGAAACAGTCGTGCTTTTGTAGTCTGCGAGGCAGAGAATGAGCTTTAAATCTACTACAGGTTTTTGGAGGGCAGATTTGCAGCCTTAGCAGTGATTGCATCTGACAGCCAGGTTAGCAGAGCTTCCCTTCCAGGAGGCTGGGGAAGTGCAGCAGCAGAAACTGCGGTGTCACATCAAAAGACAAGAAATAGTTGGGAAAAGAGGCAGGCAGGCAGGAGTTAATTTGTGGCTGGGGTTCAGGGAAAGTGCAGCAATATGTGCTAATGGTTTTGCTGTTGAGGGGAGTTGTCCTGAAAGAGCTAAAATGAAGGAGAGGATGGGAGTAAGCAGTCTCCCAGAAGATTTAAGTCTGCTGTCTCGGGAACTATCAAGCAGTTAACCCTAGTTATCTATCTATCAAATCTATCTTGTGTGTAGCAACTACATATCCTGGGAAACGTGGCAGGGCACTAGTGTGAATGCAGTTAATGGTGAGATGTCCGAGGTCGGTCTTCTGCAGCATCTCTGCAGGAACACAGATGCAGTACTTCCCAGTTTTGGACGGTCCCCACGACACCTCGAAGTGCCCAGAGGCCACACACAGGAGAACCACGAGTGATGCCAGGGCTCATTCTAAGCTGTTCCAGTCTTGCAGCAGAAGCATGCCCTCAGAGAGGCTCCTGCCACTCTGTTTGTGGTGGCTTATAGGAAACAGACTGCACTGGAATCTAAATACCTGCGTGCTTGGAAAAGCCTCAGTGAAAGGCAGCCAGAGGGATTTGGGGTCTAAAGGAGTTTGTATTATCTGTCTAAGCCTGCACTAGCTGCTGCAGCAGTGTAATACAAACCACATTTTTATATTTGTTTTGAATTCAGAGCCTTGAATGTAAAGGTTGTGACTGTTGGGTGGTGTTTGGTTTTGGTCAGTTCTGGTTTCTAATGAGGTAGTATGATGGGTTGTAGAACGTGCACCCTTGCTTCTTGGGGAGGAGGTCATCTGAAGTGACTTTGAGCATCGTGACAGCACAATTCATGTTTTGCTTAACATACTGCAGTATTGCAGTAGTGAGCACTCCATGTGTCCTGCTCTTGTATCCTCTAACAGAAGTGTGACATACTTGGGCTTTCCAAGCAGTTACCTAAAATTTGCAGCAATGTGTATGAAACATACAGTGAGAGCAACGGGCACTGATGCATGGAGGATAAGGAGAATCCAGGTCAGTTCCATACCCCAAAACAACCATGTGGTCCAAATCTCTGGGACACCTGGGCTTTGATCTTAGTCTGACCCACTGACTATCAGTGTGCTTATGGGTGATGAAGGTGGCTGAATTTCCATGGACAGAAAGCTGGTGTCCCTTTAAATTGAAGGAGTTGAAATCAAGAAGCTGTCCTGCAAAAAGCTGAAAGGAGCTCTCCCTCAGAATCTGATCGTGACAGATTCCTTTAAACTTTAAATGTAAATGTAGCTGTAAATGTAATAAAAACCCCAGCTTGTTTTTCTGGCCTCTTGTGATGCTCATCTGCAGTGCCACTTGCTGGTTTGGGTGCTCAGTTCCAGCTAAGCTGTTAGTGTAGTGAGCATTGCTGGAAAGATGGGACCTTGAAGAACAGTTATGCAAAACTAACCCGAATTCAACATCAAATTTAGCTGAACCATGTATTCAAGAAATCAGCCTTTTATGTCTTGCTGAGTTCTTCACAATAAGGTTTTCTTTAGCACAGTTATCCAAGATGACTGTTTCTTGAAACTTTCAATGATTTCTCTGATCTCCTCTAAGTGAGGTCCCCAGGCTGCAGAGAAAACCCAAGTTCATCTTTTGTAATTGTCTCCAGTTTGGGTCTGTACAAAGGGGGCATTGTCTGCATAATGCTGCTGACTATGCTTCTGCTGAGTCTGCAGAGCTGATAACAAAGCAATGAATACCTGTACCACTTCTGCACCCTGTTTGCTGGTGACTTGCTCGTGTGAGGATACACATAGGATGTCTGGTGTGCAAAACCAGTTACGGGATGATCAGATTGATTTGGTAGTTGCTGGGCTAATGCTCTCTGCTAAGAAATTTCTTCTAATGAAGCATTATCTAATTTATGACTTTGTTTGTTTAAACTATACTTTCATTTCCTTGTCAATGTCAGCATCTCGTTCATTGGAGTTATGTGCCCTGTGCACTGAGAGAAACCAGGTCGCACTCTGTCGTGTATGTTTTCAGCACTGCTCCTGGGGAAGGTAATAGAGAGCCTTGCTGTCCTGATTCATGCACATCCTCCTGTTTAAGTGAGCAGATTCAGATTACACGGAGGAGATAAGGTTGGGATCTGTCAGAGTAGTTCATTTGCTGGTTTTTAAATGACCAGTTTGGTACGCATATCGGTTGTATTCAGAACCTGATGCTTCTCTCTGGACAGAGTCGGAATGGCCTTGAGCTGGCTGAGGCCACCAGCGATTGCTGTAGTGGAGGTGGTCTCTGCGGGTATAGGTACAGGAGTCTGGTGGCAGAAATGCGACCATATTTCTTTTAACCAGGTGAAGGTGATGGGGAGCCCTTGTGGGGGGAAGGAGGGTGTCAAGTTTGGCTAAAAGTATTCTTCCTTTTTCAATTATCCAACAGATGTTCATTTGCAGATAAAGTCTTATATTAGAGAAGCCTTGACCGGGAAAGCAATGTCAGCTGGTGGGAGTGCTGCTGGTGGGACCACGGAAGTAGGAAAGTGTTGAGACAAGAGCTCTGTACTTAAGGAGCTGAAGGGGTCATGTTGCTGCCCATAACCAGAGAGCAGACACTGTAAACTGGACTGGGGGTGGGAGGACAGGCAAGAAATACAGCTGTTAGCACACTGCTCTGCAGAACCGCTTGTGGTTGAGTCAGGGCTGATTCTTTGCAATGTGAGATAAAAAAGTTAAAAGTAGCTTTGATCAGAAGTCATCCCTGCATTTACCAGTCCTTAGCTCTGCTGATAGCTGAGGTCAGAAAAATGTACTTACAGTTCATCTTACAATCTGTGGTTTGGCTTCTTTGGCCAAGCGCAGCAACACGTTTCCTGAGCAGACTGTTCTTTTTGGTATTCTCAACTCCAAAAAGGGCCGCAGTGAGCTGCGGCTTAGAAGCAAGGAGCAGCACGTGGTGATTCCCATTGTTTCAGCCTCTGTCAAGAAGCACTTGCTTTGACATACTCTGGCAGTTTTCGATGTGGGAGCATATTCTGTCTGAGTCTGAGCAAAGGCTCAAAACCACAGTCACAAGTAATGCAGTTTCATCCTACAAATTGTCTTGTCTCAGGGAATGAGCAGAGGCTTGGTCAAGCTGTGCTGGGGCATGCATGGTGAGATCCCAAGGCTGAAGTAACGTCGTGGTGCCGACCCAAGTCGCACACTGATCCCTGGGCATGGTCTTTCTGTCTGCTCCGTGTCCCTAGCCTAGAGGAATATGTCTCTGGTTTGCTCTTGTTTTAGTATGAAACGTAAATATGGCCTAGATCCATGTTAAGATGGGGCCAAACTCTTTGATCTGAGGGATTTAATGCAGTCTGATGATTGGGAATCAAAAGTGCCAGGATTCATGGATGTACACACGCTTTGTTTCCTCTCCATTGAATGGAAACTTTTCTTTTGATGGTACTTAGGAGGATCCTGAGGTGAGAGTACCTGATTGGAGAGCACAGAGTTAAGTTAAACTGGGAACCAACATATAACTTTATCTGGTGATTGGCTGGAAAGTGTCCTGGGTCCACCCAAAACTGCATTGGGAACTGGTCACCGTGGATGCTCTGAGCTGTGTTTCTCAGCAGCTTCTGCATTTTCTTCTTAGAGATTAAAATATGGATGTGTCAAGTACCTTTAGTGAAGAAGCCTTTTAAACTCCAGACTGGGAGTTGATATGGGGAGAGCAATTTACGGGGTAGTCTTTTCATTCAAGACCAGGTGATTTGCATGTGGAGTGTGGGTGTCACAAAAGAAAGAGCAGAACTTCCTCAGTGAAAGTTCAAGATCTGAGCAGGTCTCATTTCAAAGCAGGCAGTTTACAATGCTTTAACAGGATGTGACTCTGTGACCACTGGTACCTTGCATTAATCGCATCACTGATGGCTAAAGACCTCATCACCTCTGTTGTGAAGTCAACAGGAATATTTCCATTGGCTTTACTCTGTGCTCCTCTAGGAAGCTGGGCTCTAAGCTTTTCCTTCAAGGGACTACCCATGGCAGGGAGAAATCCAGAAGACAAAGGTTTTAAAGTAATAGGGCGATAGTCGTTACACAAAGTTGCGTTAGTGTGTAACTGTGAAGGTGTTGAAGTTGATGCTCAGTATTAATTAAACACCTTTGCATTTCCTGGTGGAACTTGAGGATTATTTTTCTCCTGAAATACATTTACATTTCAGCCTTTGTACAGCAGCTAATTCTGGAGATTTCAAATTTCAGATGGTCTGTACTGCCCAAAATCTGCTCTGCTTTTGGCAAGAAACCAATGCTGAGAGGCATCTGGTAAAACTGACAGTGATGCATTGAGGGAATACTGTGTTCTTTACCTTGAGAGATGTGAATATAGGTTATATTCTGAGCAGAGTCACCAAACATAACTAGAAAGTATTCTCCCCCTATAGAAAAAGGCACAAAACCTCTTGGCTTCCCAGTGGAAGTAGTTGTCTGTGAAGCCTGTGTGAGCTCTGCTTTTTCCCAGGTATAATCTGAGAAAATGGTACTGAAAGCTTAAAATTACCAGGTTTTAGGGCAAGGCTGTTAGGTATATGATTGAAAATCTTCCTTGGGGGAGTTTAAGAGTTCTGCAGTCTGCCTTCAGGAATCATCCTGTATCTCTTCCTGCACCAGAAGTGACCCAGTTTGCCCATGCAGATGGGTTGGATTTGGCAGAGAGGAGCACACAAGGTGTGGAGCAGATGTTGTTGCTGTGCTGCTTCGCACACAAAAGGCTCCTCTTTTGTGATGTTCCCCTCTACTAAAATCTGCTCTGAAGTGTATGGAAAGCTGCTGGAGGTGCTGGTGTTGGTAGCACCAGGTCATCTGTTGGGATCATGTTTTGTATGCATCTCTTAGGACTACTTTTCTACTAGTCCTTTGCTGGCATGGGCAAACCCATTTGAGGTTACTACTGATGCCATGCTCTGTGCTCCTCTGGCAGCTGCAAACAGGAGTGTTTTACTTTCCTCAAAGCCCTGCATACTCCTCCAGGTAGTGTCTGGAGAAGTTGCTGCTTGAGTGGTTTCCTCACAAGTTCATATGAAATATGCATCTTCTCACTGTGGAAGTCAGTAATTCTGAATGCGCATTTGAGCTTTTGTGGGGCTGAGAGTGAATGGAAGGTGGGACACGATGCTGAATAACTTGCAGGGAAGCTTTGGAGGCATTAAATCGAGCCTGCCCTCTGCTCCCTTTGGCCGATAGCTGGTAGACCAGTGCTGGGTGTGCTTAAGAAGTCCTGCCTGCCACTAGTGAACTACTACTACTGAATGAATTTTCTACCAGATAGAGATGCAAAAATGATAATCAGATGCTTGTCATAGCAGAATCTTTTGTGTGTTATACCAATTGCTCTGTGTGCTGTGTGAATGTCATCATTTGCATGGAAAAAAACAACCCTTCAAGGCATTTAAAAAGGAAATTTGTAAAGCAGATGAGCTGTAGTTCCTCTGAGTTGTCTCTGGTAGCACTCTCTGCCTGTCTTGCTTTGCATACTTAACTCGTCCTTATTGTCTTTTTCAATCTAGAACGTGGTCCAAAACCATTCCTGGCAAGGTTGAATTCTTCTCCAGCGAGGGTTCGGACACCTCTATTCCCATCCCCATCGTGCCGCTTCCAGGTGTAGATGACTCTTACCCACCCCAGAAGAAATCATTCATGATGCTCAAATACATGCATGACCACTACTTGGACAAATATGAATGGTTTATGAGAGCTGATGACGACGTTTACATCAAAGGGGACAAACTGGAGAACTTTCTTCGGAGCTTGAACAGCAGCCAGCCCCTCTTTCTTGGGCAGACTGGCCTCGGCACCACCGAGGAGATGGGGAAACTGGCGCTGGAACCGGGTGAGAACTTCTGCATGGGAGGACCAGGAGTGATCATGAGCCGGGAGGTCCTGCGGAGAATGGTGCCCCACATTGGCGAGTGCCTGCGAGAGATGTACACCACCCATGAGGACGTGGAAGTGGGAAGATGCGTACGGAGGTTTGCGGGAGTGCAGTGTGTCTGGTCCTACGAGGTAAGGATGAGGGCATGGAGTGTGAGGTGTGTGTACTGGGGGAGATGGAGAGGGTGGGAGAGGCTGGCAGCAGGGGATTGATGTTGGACGGCTGCGCAGCAGTTCCTTCAGAGCTCTTGACCATCCAACCGCACAGTTTCTACACTTTCTTTCCTACAAGTGTTGCCCTGGAAAGACCAATGCAAATATGGAAGTGCAGCTGTAAGGGGGGAAATGGAGCCTGACATTAGGCTTGTTGGGATGGGGGGAAGAACATCAATCATTTGTAACAGATCCGTTTGTTTAGACAGAAAGGGAATAAGCTTAAATCAAAATGGCCACAGGTCTCTGCAGACTTGACTATCCAAGTCTCTTTTATCTTCTTTAGCAGAGTATGTCATAGTGTCAGTGTGGAAAATGGATGACACAATTACTGTGTTTCCTACCACAATTGAAAGGTGTGAGGCTGACAGATGTTTGCCCCGACAGTGATGGGTTTCCCCTAAACTTACAGCCACAGCAGGGATGTCTCATGGTGGCTGGCACTGTCACCCTGTGTGCTGAGCTGCCTCCCAGCACGAGTCTGCTGCTGCTCAGGGGACTTGCTGGCAGCCCCATCCTGCAGAAGCCTGCTCAGCAGGTCCTTGACGTCAGCAGAGACAAGCCACCACTCTTGCAGCAGAGCTCGGGGTCTGCCCACACTGATGTGGCTGCAAATTTGGCATCCTGGGGGGAAAAAAACAAGAGTCCCCATCCTGCTTGTGCCAGTTTCCTGCTGCTGTTCCTGCTGGGGTCTGGCAGCTCCTCGCAGGGGTGAGGGGACTTGTGCCCAGTGTGCTGGGCTCTTTGAGTCCTGGGTGCTTACAGACTGACTGAAAACACCTGCAGGGGTTGAGTTGCAGCTTCTCCTCTAGCTCCCAGGGAAAATGCTGGTGTAAATAAGGGAGAAGTTGAAGGCAGAACAGAGCGTGAACAATTTGTCTTTTTACACAAACATTTGTGACTTGGTACGCAGCTTTTGCTTTGTGCTTTTATGAGATGTGGTAAAGAGGGAGATTCTTCAGCCCGTGTGACAGAGAGCTGTGGTCACGGATGACGACAGATGCTGCTGCTGACCCACTGGCAAGGACTTGTGTTAAACTTTTGACACTGACTCTGTGCTCCCAAAAGCTGTTGCTTTGTTTCAGTTCGCAGTTCAGTGATGGGAACGTGGAAGGAGTACTTCAGCTTCTCCAATTCATTCGTATCTTTTGTGCATGAAGACTTTCTGGACTAACAGTGGCTCTCCACGTTCCCTACTTACAGACCTGGAACTAGCTTGTGTATTGCCAGCATTGTGGTTAGCCATTCATAAGGAGTCAGTAACTTTTTCCACAGTCTTTAGCAGCATAAAATTTTTCCTGTAGACATTCTGAGTTGAAATAACTCCTGGTGTGAATGCCTGTACCATGTGGCATTTGATGACTTACTTAAGATCAGCGTTTTGGTCTTACTGAAACTGGCAAAGACCTCCTAAACTGGATATGATCAAATTTTGGCTTGAAATAGCTAACGATAGCACAACTGCACTGGGAATTCTACCTGACAGAATTAGATTGGGCTTTTCTCAAAACCAGTTTTGTTTGATCAGCTCCTGCTAAATTACCCGTATTTAACAGTGCTGGATTCTCCCAAGTGCTATGAATTACTTAAAATTGATTTGTGTGAAGTGTGTAAACTGTAAGATGTTCAGAAGTAACCCTTGAGTGTGAGATGTTAAAGCTCAGCTGCTTTGGAGAGAGGGAAGAGTTCTGGTGATGAAAGCTCGCTGCTTCTGCCTGAGTAAGTCCACTCATTTAGTTGAGGCTTTTCAATGTAAAAACCTGTCATTTTTCCTCTCTTTTATTTTGGTGTGGTGCTCTCATTGCCCAGACAACTCGATGAAAAGTGCCTGGTATTTTATTTAAGATAAAGCAATAGCTGTGTGAAATAACACAGCTGTCAGAACAGCTGTGCTAGGAAAGCTTGGGGTAAAAGCGACATTTTCCATGTCTCATATGGTCGTGAACATCAAGCAACAGGTCACAGCATGTGAACTGCAAAGCATTGGATTTCAGTGAGCTTCTGACAGAGCAAAAGGTTTGTGCCTGCTCTGCTGGGGCACAGCCACCAAATCCTTCACAGTTCCCATTGAAAGGGAAGCAGCAATGGCACAAGGCTCAGTGAACAAAACAGCGGCATTGGCCTCAGAAAAAGCAAACCTCAGACTTCTCCTTTGCTTTCTGCACTTCCTGTTCTGGAGAGACTCAAGTGGCAGCACAGATGAGGAGCTTGAGTCTTTGTAGTCACACCCCAGCTCTTTGATTTCGTTCTTAGCATCTCGGACAAGGAATATCCTGCTGGACCTCAGTGCGGGTGGTTGTTTCCCTGTGCTGTTCGTGTGGTGGGCTCTATGCCCAGAGTTGTTTTAACTCATCTCCATGACTGTCACTGCCCCCTTTCTCTGATTTTAAGATCTCACAATGTCTTTACTGTGCTGCTCATCTTCCCTGGCTCTGGCTCTGGTGTTGTGCCCAAACTCATCTCCAGGCCCAGTGCTGTGGGTTTTTTCTGCTCCCAGCAGTCTGCCTCAGAACCCCTCTTTCCCCCCTTCCTGTGTTTCTGTCCCTCTGCTGCTCTCTGCAGTGCTGCTCAGACCACTCCATCAGTGACACCGGTTATTGCCCCTTTCAAGACTTGTAAAGATTTGCTCACATGCTTCCTGTCATCAGGAGCTTTGCAGCAAATACAGCAAAGGAATTGACTCCGGGATTCTTTGGGCTTCTTGTTTCATCTCACCCCACAAAAGAGGCAGCAATGGTATGTGCAAGCCTGAGGAGAACTGAAGCTCCCTGGGCTCTGGGGCTTCATCTGATGCACCCAGGCTGCTGCTTCAGGAGCACTTTGCAGCCAGCGATAGATTCTAGACTCCTATGACCAGGTTTGTAGCTGTTACCCTACTTGACACAGGTTGAGTGAGCCATAGGTGACACACGCCTCTGAAATGGTAATTTTTTAATGGTAAGGCTTATCACCATAGTAAAAATAACGAGCAGCCAGAGCTACAGATTTTAGGCAGCAAACTGGAAGAAAAAATCATGGAAAGAATGGAGCAGTGAAACCTCTGAAGATTACAGATGAGGGATTGAGAGTTTATGAAGCGAGATAGAGCGCAGTCCTTCTTGAAGAGGACAAAAGGCTTGGACTGAACTTGTTAGGAAGTGGTTTTGCATTTCTAGTGAGTGTTGGTATTTTGGTCTTGTGGCACGCTGCTGTTCTTCTCAGGAAAAGTTTATGTAGTTGTCTCCTTTCTTCTCGCATTTCTTTGTGCCAGTAGTTCCAGTGTGTCCTGTGTGGATCAGAGACGTGCTAGTTTTGTTTTCTCATACGCTGCCGTGTGTATGATCTAGGCTGTTCAACCACAGAACAGGTTTAAGTGACCAGCTATCTCATTTGTGATTTAAACCATCCCAAGGTATTGCTGAGCTCAGTTTTCACTTCGAGTCTAATGTTTCCTTTAAATGCGTCTGAATTACAAAGCCATCACTGCAGCTTAGTGTTGTTTCAGCCTTGTTTGTAGCTGCTGCTGAGTATTGTTCTAATTTGTGTTTAATATCCTCACCTTGAGAACACTGGGAACTCCTATGCCAGCTCTTTGTAGCTGCTGGAAATCAGGGCAGTGCTGAGGTACCACATTAATTTCTTCAGTAATAAAACCCTTCTAACATTGCTTTCAGGTGATACTGACTGCTTCGTGTCCCCCAGCACGACAGAAACAGCTGGATGCAGCTTACACTACCCCTAACAGTTGGTGCAGATGTTTTGTCTGGTTTTCCTTCTGTTCTGATCCAGGCAGTGGGAGAAGTTGGGTAAGAAGCAGCAACTGTGTGTGGGGGGAGTGCTTTCCTCCGAACCAGCAACAAGGACTCCCTAAATGGCCTGAAGTGAGACAGGTTTTTTTTGTAATATACGTGGAAAAGAAGCTGTGTCAAGGGGAGTGATCCCGCTGGGAAACGTGAGCATCAAGGAAGCGTAGATCCTACCTTTTGGGCATTAGTGAGGGAAAAACTAGGGCAGTGGTGACTGGGGGGGTTCTGGGAGAAGAGGGGTTTGAATTAAGTTTTTGTGTGGTCTTTCATCTGGAGTAATTGAAGATAATTGCTACTCTGAAATCCACTGAAGTTAGGAAGCCCTTCAAGTGCACATTGTATCTGCCAAGTACATCGGCAGAGCCAGAACGCACTGTGTCTGGAATGGACTCTCCCGTGGGCAAAACTGAAGCTTATGGTTTGCTGTAAGATAGCCAGAAGTTAAAGCAAGATAATAGGTGCTGCAGTGATTGATCAGAACTGAAAGGCTGGGGACAGATGCAACTGTTGATGACTAACCTTGCTTTATCCTCTGAGAAAGAACCTTCCATTAACAAAATAGGAGATTCATCCTGCTTGTAGCTGGCTCATGTCTGGCACACAGCACACACAGCAGCAAGAGCTGTACATCTCCAAGCAGGGCAGGATGGGCTCTGTGAGGAGGTGCTTTGGGCAGGGTGCTTTGCAGCACCTTGGTTCACTGCAGTGGGGTTGGTCTGTGATTATTTGGTCGCTCTTGCTCTGTAGACCCTTGCATTGGACACAAGGCAGCAAGTGGAAGAATCGGCTTGTCTTTGCGGTGGGAGCATCCAGTGGCACTTCTGAAATAGAACACTCTAATACATATATGTTGTCCTGGCTTCAAAGCTTGTATGTTTTTCTGAAGTCAGAGCATAGGAACTTGGCAAACCCTGACAGCAGCAGATACCTTATATCGTCTCTGTGTAGCCCATTGCATCTCTTCATTCAGGAAACATAGGATACAAATTGTGTGTGTGTGTGTGTGAGAGGGGAAGTTACAAACATGCCTAGTGCTTTAGAGTGGGTGTTTATAAATTGTCGTTCCTTAAACACTAAATTTTATCTTTGAAACACATCAGAGATACCTCTTTGGCTTCAGAGTAAGTTGGAAGT